TTTTCAGCCATTAATTCATCCAAAATATCATTTATACTAATATTTAATGACTTTTTATTTCTCTTCATTTTAACCATAATTTAACGCAATTATAAATTATTAAACATTTAATTAGAAATAGTTTTAATTCAAAATACAATTAAAGGCCCAAAAACTCATTCAATACAATAATACAAACAATAATGATAACTATTTTGGGGACTGTTTCTCAATTACAGCCAATTTACGGATCATTACTTATTTTTGTGAAAAAAACTTTTAATTTTTAGTTATTTAAATTTAAACATCAATTACTTTAGTTTTCACAAGAATTCGTTTAGTTTTATACATATTTTCTGTCATTTTTCATATATTGATTACAATTTAATTAATTTTAAACAAAGTTTTCAGTCAATAGATATTCAAATATTCAAATAGATGTCTCAATATCTATAAGTTTTGCACCGATTTATTGGTCGGAAATTAAATTACACATTTTATTTACAAATGTATTTAAAAACTTATACAGTATTACATCTCATAATAAAAACATTTAATAATTAAACATAAAAAAAAACAGTGCAATCATTCACTTTTGATGCACTTGTTTATAGTGTTTAGCAATATTGCCTGTATTGGCGCACCGGTACTGACATCCGGGCCAATGACAGGCGTGCGGCTTAAGATTGTTGTGAATATTCATGTGATCCTTAAGACTCTTCGGAGTGGGAAACGCTTTGCCACAGTCGGGCCATTGGCACGGGTAGGGACGGGCGCCGGTGTGAGTGTTTTGGTGCAAACTCAGTCTATGATTACTTATGGTCCTGTAGTCACATCCCGGCCACATGCAGGCAAACGATTTGGCCAATACATACGGTTTGAAGCCATGAACAGCCGTCCGATGCTTTCGCATTGGTTTGTAGCTCAAGAAGCGGGCGTCACAGCCATCGACAGTGCACTTAACAGTCGGTAGGCCTGAGTGACGCACTTTGTGTGCCCTCAGGTGAGTCTCAGACTTGAAACTCTTGCCGCAGCCCTCGTGATCGCACCGGAAGGCGCGTTCAGTCGTATGTATAATCATATGGAGATCCAAATTGGACTGACTTTGGGAGCGGCCGTCGCAGCCATCAATTGGGCACCGGAACGGGCGCTCCCGGTTGTGCACCACTTTCATGTGTACTTTTACGCCGTTTTTGGTTTTGAATACTTTGCCACACGAGGGCTGATGGCAGGCGTGTGTGGGCACAGTCTCGTGAACACCTTTGATGTGATGCCGAATCGCGTCGTAATCCTTGTATTCTCGGCCGCAACCAATTTCGGCGCACCTGTACTGACCGGTGCCGGCGATACGACAGCGGCGTTCAATGTCTGCCCGTCGTTGCCGTTGGGCGGCAGTGATTGGGTTGTCGTGAGACGATTGGTGGACGCGAAGGGCTGATGCAGTTTTGCACCGATAGTCACACCGATCGCATCGAAAGGGCCTCGCGTTTAGTAAACGGTACGTGTGTTTCGGTCGACGCCGTCGTCCGGTTTTGTGTCCACTCTTCGTAGTTGTAGTCGTCGATGGTGTCCACGACTTGTTCTCATCCATGCATTCATCGGTGATAGTGTTGTTGTCATTCAAATCACTGGCCGTTTGTTTGACTACTTTTGCTAATGTTTTGGTTGTTTTCTTGCGATCTATCTTTTGGATCGCTTTTGTCTGATCCGAGTCTTCATTATTAGTCTTCATCACCTCTCGTCCGAAATCATTGTCTTCTCGTTTCACTACTATTTCTGATGTCTTTCTCTTCTTATAGACTCTTTTTTGTTGTGGTTTTTGTGATCCAATTGTTTCCTCCGTTTGTTTGTCATTCAATTGATCCAATCGTAGCGACAATAGTCTGAAGTGTTGTTTGTCTTCACAATCGATAAGTGTTTCATATTTTGNTTTTGAGTGAATTTTAATTAAATGTGTTTTCAATTCAAATAAACACTTGATTTCATGTAAAAGTCGTTTGTTTTCAGCCATTAATTCATCCAAAATATCATTTATACTAATTTTCAAACACTTTTTATCTCTCAATAAAACCATAATTTTATACAATTTATAAATGATTAATAAATTTAATTCAAAATACAATAAAAGACATAAAATTGTGATAAAAACAACAAAAACTGATGACAACAACTTTAGGGGAATTTCTATTAATTGCCGACAATTTGTTAATCCATTCAAATTGTCATCAATTTTATGAAATAATAAAAATTGTAAATAAAATTTTATTTGCAAATTAAATACAAAAATTAATAATACAACTCGTAATACAATACATTGTACTAATTGAGTAATTAAAACAAATCTAAATTACACAATAATACAATAAAAACAGTGCAATCATTCACTTTTGGTGCACTTGTTTATAGTGTTTGACAAGATTGCCTGTATTGGCGCACCGGTACTGACATCCGGGCCAATGACAGGCGTATGGCTTCAGGTTATTATGAATATTCATGTGCCCGCGAAGACCGGTCGGAGTGGGAAACGCTTTGCCACAGTCGGGCCATTGGCACGGGTAGGGACGGGCGCCGGTGTGTTTGTTTTGGTGTAATCTGAGCCCCATATTATTGGCGCTGCGGAAGTCACAGCCCGGCCACTGACAGCTAAACGGTTTGCGTATAGCCCGCCGCTCGAAGCCGTGTTCGGCCACTCGGTGTCTGACCATTGGTTTGTATCTCAAGAACCGGGCGTCACAGCCATGGACTGTGCACTTGACAGTCGGCACATCCGAGTGATGCACTTTGTGGGCCTTCACGTGTAGGACAGACTTGAAGCTCTTGCCGCAGCCCTCGTGATCGCACAGATAGGGCCGCTCCGTCTGGTGTACGACCAGATGTGAGTCCGTTTTCTGTCGAGTGGCGAACCGTCGGTCGCAGCCGTCGTGCGGACACCTGAACGGGAGCTCACGTGTGTGCACATGCATGACATGATTGGCGAGTGTGTGTTTATGTTTAAACATTTTGCCGCAACCGGTGTAATGGCACGCGTGAGTGGCCGGCGTGTTGTGGACTCGCTTGATGTGGAACCAAAGGGGCCGATAGGCGGCGAACTCACGGCCGCAACCGATTTCATCGCACCGGTACTGACCGGTGATGGGGTCGCGACACCGGCGCTCAATCCGCTCTTTATTGGTCTCGACGGCCGGCGTGTTGTGCGCCGACCGGCAGTGCTTACGAAGAGTTGCCGTCGATTGGCACCAATAGTCACACTCTTTGCAGCCATACTTTGGTCGGTTTGGCGGCAATACTGTTGCTCTCTTCGGTCGACCGCGTAATCGAGTTTTATAGTCGTCGGCGGAACCGCTTTTCATCATAGGCTTTGTTCTACACTTGTCCTCATCAGTGTCTTCACCGGTGATAGTGTTGTTGTCATTCAAATCACTGACAGTTTGTTTGACTACTTTTGCCGATGTTTTCGTCTGATCCGAGTCTTCATTATTAGTGACCACTTCTTCCCCAAAATCATTGTCTTCTCGTTTCACTACTATTTCTGATGTCTTTCTCTTCTTATAGACTCTCTTTTGTTGTGGTTTTTGGGATTCAATGAAACACTTATCGATTGTGAAGACAAACAACACTTCAGACTATTGTCGCTACGATTGGATCAATTGAGTGACAAACAAACCGAACAAACAATTGGATCACAAGATGTGAGACAAACTCGAGGCCGGAAAAAGACAAAGACATCACAAGTGGTAAAACAAACTGAAAGTGATTTCACTGATAAAGTGGTTACTAATGAAGACTCGGATGAGAGGAAGACATCGACGACAGACACAGACCTCAAGAGTATTAAAGACATGAAAGATCAGAAGCGATTGAATCGAAAGCCAAACCGAGTGTTTAAATCAAAGTTAATTCATTGCGATTACAAAGACTGCGACTTTAAGACCCAATCGGACGCAAGACTGGCCACTCATATGAAAAGACACGACAATCCAAAGACCGAAGCCTATAGACAGCTAAGGCTAGACCTTAACCGCCGGTGCTATGACTCGACTACCAATACCTATAGCTGTGGTCAAAGCGGTTGTCTCAAGACATTCACAAATTATAACGCAGTCAGAGATCACATGACTTATATCCACAAAAGTCGGGACATTGTCTGCGATTACGCCGATTGTAATAAAGTGTTCAAAACTAAACACCTCTTAAGACTCCATTTCAATAATATGCACAAAACAGACAAACCGTTTAAGTGTCCGCACAATGAATGCGGTAAAGAGTTTGCGTACAGACAGCGATTGGACACTCATTTGGTGAGTCACACGACTGGTCGGCCATTTGTGTGCGACTTCGATGGCTGCGCGAAGAGCTATAAGAATCGATTGTCACTCACGACACACAAACGGATCCATTTGAGTGAACCCACCATTAAGTGCACTGTCGAGGGCTGTTATGAACGCTTTCACGCACACAAACACATGCATAAACACCGGCAAACTGTCCACTCTATACGGCCTTATAAATGGCGTCCACCGCCCGGCTATAAACCCACGTGTCTTTGGCCGGGCTGTGACTTCACCTCCAAAACCAATTATCAGCTCAATGTCCACCAGCGGACACATACCGGTGAAAAGCCGTATGCCTGCGATTGGCCCGAATGTGGCCATCGGTTCGCCCGACGCAGTCATATCAAAGACCACATGAATGCCCACAAGAATGTGAAGCCATACGCCTGTCATTGGCCCGGATGTCAGCACCGGTGCAGTCATAGGAGTAATGTTAACATTCACTACAAACAAGTGCATCAAAAGTGAGCGCATATTTTGCGGATTCATAATTATTTATATAATTAACTAATAATTAGCATTCAAATAGTGTTTCAATCATTTTTGTTGTTAAGTCACTTTATTATTGAATATCACTTATGACTACTTTTATGTGATTGTAATAAATATGTATTTCATTTAAAATTTTGATATTAATTTTTTTTAATCAATTGTACAATTAATTTAAATATATTTACATTTTATAAATATATTATAATTCAATGAAATTCAAACGATTTTATTATAAATTGTGGCACAATTTGAATGGATTAACAAATTGGTGGCAATTAATAGAAAGTCCCCTAAAGTTGTTGTCATTGTTTTGATTCAATCATTGAATTTCAATCACTTTTGAATGAGTTTTTGGATTTTTAATCACTATTTTATGCCTTTTATTATGTTTTGAATTAAATTTTTAAAATAATTTATAAATTGTATAAAATTATGGTTTTATTGAGAGATAAAAAGTGTTTGAAAATCAGTATAAATGATATTTTGGATGAATTAATGGCTGAAAACAAACGACTTTTACATGAAATCAAGTGTTTATTTGAATTG